CGAGATCGCCACCTACAGGCGCCTGCTGGAGGGCGAGGAGCAGAGGTGGGCACAACCCAGCTACCCCAAGAACCCCACTTTCGTAGACCCGGCCACCTTTGATTCCACCATATCTCAGTCTCGGTTTCAAAAACTGGCCCCAAGCTAGACTCTTGGCTCTTTACATCCCAAATCTCAGCAGACTGGAACTTGCACATGTTCCCTTTATCATATAAAGCCAGTGCCACTGTGATGTCCAGAATCTCAGAGGGCCCAGGGCCCTGCTAGGATTGGAACCTAAGCAACCTGGCTCTCAATTCAGGACATCCTCCCATTGTCCCATCCTCAATTCTTTCAAGATTCATACCCTGCCTGGTTTCTAGGAGGTCACCTTCCCTAGGGTAGAGTTGCTGGCCAAACTCTGGCCCTGACCTTGTATGCCTAAGAGGACATTTCCCTTCCTAAAGCTGAGCCTGTCTGGGTCTGCCAGATACAGTTGTTCAGGTTGTATACTGCACAAAGGCAGCCAGCTAAGGGATGAGTGACAGCCGAAATCCATTTCCCTTCCTAAAGCTGAGCCTGTCTGGGTCTGCCAGATACGGTTGTTCAGGTTGTATACTGCACAAAGGCAGCCAGCTAAGGGATGAGTGACAGCCGAAATCCAGCTCATACTCTCCTTGCTAAATAGTGTGCCCTGGAATTGCTGCCAGAAAGGCACCTTTTTTCTAAGTTGCACAAAGGCATAATTATAAACCGGAAGTAGCCCTGAGATGACCCATTCCAGCACGTAGGGAATATTTGATGATCTTTTTTTTTCTTTTAATTTAATTTTATTTTATTTTACTTCTCAAAATACATTATACTTGTTTTTCATGCCCCTATACCCATTCCTCTCCACCCCCTCCAATATCTGATGATCTTCTTCTAATTTCTTTTCTTTTCCCCTTCCCCACCTTTTCCCCCCTCAGGCTGTGTGAAGGTGTTGGAGCTGTGAATGTCTGTAAGTATCTTGAGCCCTGAAAAAGAAAATTTTAGGTTGGGCAACAACAAGGATTTCCGGGTGTGAGTGTGTAGAGACATTGGGAGGAGTGTTTTCAGTAATTGCCCAAGTAAAGGGGAGTAGGTGGTCATGCAGCAGGAAAAACTGAAATTAGCTTACAGGACAAAGCTCACAGCATGAATGGGGTTGGGGAGGTGAAAGATTAACAAGATGTCACTGCAAGAAGGGACCCCAGATGTCACTCAGTATAACCTCCACTTTGTTTGGTTGAGGAAGCTGAGACCCAGAGAGAGGAAAGGACTTGCCCAAGGTCACAAGGCAGACTGGGACTAGAACCCAGGTCTCCTGGCCCCCAGGCTAGAGTTCTCTCCACACCTTCAGAACCACTATTGAAGCACTTTGCATCTTTCCCTGGATGGCTGACAAATCAGACAGACCAAAGAAGGAAGGTAGCTGGATGGGATCGCCACCAGCCAGGCCGCCTAACCCTGTTGTTGTTCTGCAGGTGTCAGCAGCTCCCGGGGTGGCATCGTGTGCGGGGACCTCTGTGTGTCAGGCTCCCGACCTGTGATAGGCAGTGCCTGCAGTGCCCCCTGCAGTGGGAACCTGGCAGTGAACACAGGCATGTGTGCACCCTGCGGCCAGGGGAGATGTTAGGTTGCCCAGGAGAGAGCCAAGGAGGCCCCTTCTGCCACTGTCCCCACCCCCAGCTGAGAACAGTGGTGCATCGGTGGCTTTTCCCCTTGTGTTCTGAGAATACACCACCTGGCTCATTCCCACCAGCCACTCCTCTGCTCATCTTGTCCTGCTGGAAAGGGACCTGCTGCCCGGGAATGGACCCATCCCTTTCCCCATCTTGGCCTCCAGCCCCTCCCAGGGAAAAGGGTTTCTTACCCTGGGAGGAGCATGGTGGGACTGCTTCCCATGCCTCTCTGGCCTCTCATCTCCCATTTCCAATAAACTGGGTGACCCACTTTCTGTGCTGTGTTGTCTTGCTTTCTTGGAGCAAACCCAGGTCCACCAACTGGTGAGCACCGCAGCCCAGCAATATGGCCTTAGGACAAGGGTCATTCTAACCTGTTGTCAACCAGGACACCTGCAGAGCCTGTCCCCAAATAATGCCATTGTCCCTGACCAGGCAGTGCTGACTGTGCTCCCAGAACCTTTTGCCCAAGTCACACCTGTCAGTCAGGGGTGGTTTGGGGCTTTGTTACTCCAACTGGTACCATATGAAGCTACGGGGTATGCTGGAAGGCAGCGTGTGTGTGTGTGTGTGCGTGTACTGCATGTGTGTATGTGTGTGTGTGCCCGTGTAGTTTTAGTCCCTTCCCCACACACACTCCTTTCTTTTCTTGGCACACCTTCACTCTGCTCCCCACCCGCCACCCCCACACATGTATCACAGCAGCAACCACCACAAGTGCCAACAGCCACCATCAGGGTGCCACCTTGGACCCCACCCCACCCCACTGTCACTGTCGTCCCCATGCTGCCCACCAAACAAGGGGAAGATGACACCGCTCCTTCCCAGCCTTCCCCCCATACACATATGCTCCTCTTCAGCCCCAGACAGCCCTCTCAAAAGCCCTGTAGTGGGGTAGAGGACACCATCTAATCACTTTCCCCTTCCCAGCCTTCCCCCCATACACATATGCTCCTCTTTAGCCCCAGACAGCCCTCTCAAAAGCCCTGTAGTGGGGTAGAGGACACCATCTAATCACTTTCTCACCTGCCCCCCACTCACCACCTCATCCCCAGATCCCTCAGAGTGTCAGCCCCAAGGCTGAGATGGCTCCTGTGCCCCCTGGAAGGACCAGCCCTGGTAGTTCTTGAAGGCTGCAGCCACGTTCTCTGCAGCCCGTCTCCTTCCTCGCTGCCCCTCTCCATTCCTCCTCTTCGCCTAGCCCTACTCCAGCCCCTGACCTTTCCCACCCATCTCACCACACTGCCCTTGGAGGATCCTCCCTCACCTGCCCCCCACTCACCACCTCATCCCCAGATCCCTCAGAGTGTCAGCCCCAAGGCTGAGATGGCTCCTGTGCCCCCTGGAAGGACCAGCCCTGGTAGTTCTTGAAGGCTGCAGCCACGTTCTCTGCAGCCCGTCTCCTTCCTCGCTGCCCCTCTCCATTCCTCCCCTTCGCCTAGCCCTACCCCAGCCCCTGACCTTTCCCACCCATCTCACCACACTGCCCTTGGAGGATCCTCCGCCTTCCCTCACTCCCTCTCCAAATCTCTAGGCCCCTAGGACCCAAGCTGTAGGGCCCCTGTCACCTTCTCTCCCTCCTGCTTCCTGACCTGAGTCTTGGGCTCAGGCCAGCCTCTCAGTCCTCCCAGGCAGCCTGCTCACTGGCTCCTGTCCCTCACCCATGCAGCTTACCTCGATCACTAATGTGCCCCCCGACCCTTCTCTCACCTGCCTGTACCCTCTCCCTGGGCAATAACTTCAGCCTTGTGCCTTCAGTTGCTGTCCATGGTTAATGTCCTCCTTGGTTAAAATCCTCCAACTGGGCGCCAGAGTCCTGATGACTCTCCTCCCACCCTCGCTCCTCAGCTTCAGACCCACGTGCCTGGTTCCCACAAGACGCCTCCACCCAGCAGTCCTAGACACACTTCGAGCTCAACAGACCTTCCAGCCTAACTCACCACCTCCCATCCTCTCAGCCAGAGTCTCCTCCTACCTCCCCATCAAGATCAACACAGCTGCCCAAGCCAGAACCGATCAGCTATCCTTGCTTTTCCCCCTCAAAATTAATTAACCCTCAAGTGCTTTTCTTTCCTACTCACTACCTCTCTAATCCACCTCTTTCCTCCCTCCCTACTGCTACCACCCATGTCCCGGCCACCATCTCGCCTGCAGTTCCGCTCTTCTCCCCTCCCAATCCCCACTACACGGCAGCCAGAGAGACATTCAGAAAACACAAGTCTGACCTTTCACTGGGTCCCCACTGCCCTCAGGATAAAGACACATAAGTCCTACATGTCTGCTCTGACTAATCTCTCAGGACCCCTCACGGCTCCTCATTCCCCACTAACCCCATCTTTCTCCCATACCCTGGCTCAAAATGCCCTGAACGCCTGTCAGGAGAGGGCTTGAATCAGAGGCTCTCCAGGGGCCTTTTCAGTTGCGACCTTCTTGGGAAGAGACTCTGAACTCTGCTCGGGGATTTTAACACTCCCTTCCCAGGCTTAAGGAGAATACCATGAGGACTGCCAGCCTTGGGATGTCATTGAGGGGCCACTTGGGAGAACCTAGGGAGGCTCCATGCCTCTGGAGGTGACGCACCTTTCTTCCACCCTACCAGTTCAAGGGACCAGGCAAGACTGATGTTATGAACTCTCCATCTGTTAGAGCTTCTGAACCTCTGAGCCCCATCTCCTCCGCCACCACTCCACTTCTCTTTCAAGGAGACAGGTGGCTGCACAGAGCCCTGGGCCATGGTGCTGGGGAGAAAGAGAAGCATAGCTGAAGGATTATTAACCAGGAAATACCAGTTATTTCCCGAAAGAAGTAATATTGAAGCTGAGACCTCAGTGAAGACCAGGAGCCCATTTATTCAATCAACAAATAGTTATTGAGCACCTGCTATGTACCAGGTACTGTTACACAAGCTTGGGTTCATATAAGCCAAGAAAGTAGTCAAAGATGTTTGTCCCCTGTGAAGCTTACATTTCACGGCAAAAAGTTAACCTAAGTAAGGAGTTAGCCAGGATGCAGAGATCTGTTCCAGACACGGGGAATAGCATATGAAAAGGTGGGGCTAGAGAAAGAGCATGGCAACATCCAGGAACTCTAGTGAGTTCAGTTCTTGTGGGGAGGAGTTGGGGACTGCTCTCCAGTGCCTTCTAGAAACTTAAAATATGCCCTTTATTTCTACATTCTCCTCTACTGCCCCCTCCTACCCCAACTCCACTCCACCCCATAAAAGTTTTCTTCATCCAAGGACATTTCTCATCCCTACTTCCAGGCAATTTTCTCATTATCTTCCAGAGGTAGGTGTATGAGCCAATTAACAAGGCCTTCCATGCTTCACAGAGAGCCAATTGCCTCCTCTCTGGAAGTTTCCTACTGGCTGCTGAGGAATGTGAGCCATCTGCATATCAGATCCCTCTGTGCAGGGAAGCCTGAGATAAGGCCAGCCATGGTAGTGTCAATGCCCAGAGTCACAGTCCCTCAGCATCCACCCTATTCTGCATTCAGTGAGCTGGTGGTATCAACCATCATTTATCCTGTGGTTAAACTAACTGAGGTTCCAAAAGGTGAAGGGGCTTGACCACACTCTCTTGGTGGCAAAGTTAGGACAAGAGCCTAAGACCCCAGACTTCCATCCCGTAGTCTTTTTCTACCACTCACTCTGCCTCCTGCTATTCAGAGGCTGAGTGCTGTACTGTCATGATATCACAGTGATAGCAATTACAACAACAAATACCAATTTTTGAGTATCTATTACATGCCATGCTATATTCCAAACTTTTATTTGTACCTTCCCATTTAATCCTCCTGTGGTAGCTATCTTTAGAAATGACCGCCTCAGCAACCCTTGAATCTGGGCTGGCCCCATGACTGCTTTTACCAATAGAATGTGGTGGATCTTCTGTCCCCAGGCCTTAAGAGGACTGGCAGCACATGGAGGAGAACAGAGCCCCTGGCTGTCAGCCCCCACCCCAGCTGAGCTCTCAACCAGTGGCCAGCACCAAGCGCCAGCCAGATGAGTGGAGCCATTTTGGACCTTCCAGTCATCCCAGAGCCCTAGCCAACAACGTGAAGCAGAAGAGTCACCCAGTCAATCTACACAGTCATAAAAAATGTTGTTTTAAGCCACTAAATTTGGGGATATTTTGTTACATAGCAGTATGGAAGAAGTTAGTACCTGGTAGTGGGGTGCTGCTATAACAAAACCTGAAACCTGTAATATTGGCTTTGGGAGCAGGTGTCAGGCAGAGCCTGAATGCCCTCAAGGAGACACATGAAGTCTAATGGATGGTAAGGAAATTATCATTAGATGCTGATGAAAAGGTCTAGGGATAGGGGCTGCTTCTTATAACTGCAACTCCTGTATTCTTTAGCGTTCTTGCTTTTTGCTACCCAATCCATCATTCCTCCAATCCTCTGTTGTAGTTAATAACTTTTTATATTAAACTTTCTCTGTTCAAATTATTGTCTTCTGATTGGACAATGACTGATACACAACCCTTGGCCAACAACCCCAGCTGAGCTCCCAGCTGGTGGCCAGCACCAAATCTAGCCAGCCATGGGAGTGAGGACATTTTAACATCCTAGCACCACGGACAACATCATGAAAAGGAGAACTGCCCAGTAAGCCCACAGAATCTTGAGAAATGATAAAGTATGTTTTAAGTCTCTCCATTTGGAGTGATTTGTTATGTGCAATAGATATTTAAAACACCTCCCTACGACCCAGCAGGTATCAGTATCCCATGTTACACATGAAGAAGCTAAGGCTCGGCACGTATTAGTGACTTGCCCACAGTTACAACGGAACTGGTAAACAGCTGAACCAGCATGCAGACATAGGTCTTTACTGTATTAACAAAGCCCTTTCAAACATAATCCTTCTTAGGGAGCTAGAAGGATCTTAGGAATACTGTCCAACCTCCCTCATTCTACAGCCAGGAAACTTAAGCTCCAAGGGTGGACCATACATGTGGCCCACAGCACTTAGGACCCTGAGTTAGAAGCCCGGTTCTCTGCACCGTCAGCCCGGTGCTCTTCCTCTGCCCCACTCTGCTTCTCTCACACACCTCTCTTCCATTCCACCCCACCCATTTCCTCCTGCACTGTGCCCCTGGGGGGAGGGGAGATCACCATAGTTGAGAACTCCTAGGAGACATTTCGCCAGGTCTAGAGACATCTTTGATTGTCACAATTGGGGGTGGGGGAGTACTAGTGGACAGAGGCCAGGGATGCTGCTAAACTTCCTGCAAAAGGCTCAGGACAGCCCCACAACAAGACTTATCCAGTCCCAAACTGTCAATCATGTTGAGGTTGAGAAAGCTTGGTCTAGAGAAACCCATGACCCCACAGGATTCCCTCCTTCCTTGAGTCTTCCCTTGCTTTCCCCAAGGCCTGGGCTGCTCAAGGACAGGTGGACAGCATCCACTGCAGTCATTTCCACCCACTAGAAAACAGCGAGGTGCATGGAGAGTTCCCGAGGGCTTCTCTGGCAGGGAGCACCTTGCAAGGACAGCCCTGGAGTTTTCAGGACTCTGAAGCACCAAGTTTGATTCGCTACAATTAGTTTATTGGAGACACAGAGTGAAACAAAGACAAACGTGCAGGCAGTTGGGTCATTGGCTTTTTAGAAGCTTCTGCAGGCAGCCCTGGAAGGGAAGTGCTCTCCCCTTCGGGTCTCTCCCTCACAGAGTTCCACGGAGACGACCATCAACGTTCCTGTCTCCATTCCGCAGGCACGTAGGCAGATTCCCAGAGAGTACAGACAGAGATACAGAGATTCTGGGGCCTGCCCTGCTCCTCCAACCTTGGGGAAAGGAGACAGGCAGGACCAATGAATCCAGCAAAAAATAGAAGGCGGCAGAGAAGGATGGATCCTCAGGGCAACAAATTAACTACTAGGAAAGACTACAGAAGGGGATCAGGGCGCTTGGGGCGCCTGGGGGACGGCGCCCAGAGGGAAGCAAGCAGGGAGGGCTTGCAGAGTGTTCACATGTGGGACCGGTTTTGGGGAGGCCGGCGGCGGGCGGTGCGTTCCGGTTGCATGAGGTCCTGGCTGGGCGGACGGCGGGCGGTGCGTTCCCGTTGCATGAGGTCCTGGCTGGGCGGAGGGTGACGGTGACGGTGACGGTGACGGTAGCTTGCAAAGGCAGCAGCTTCCTAGCACCTCTTGCAGCCGGCGGCGGGCGGTGCGTTCCGGTTGCATGAGGTCCTGGCTGGGCGGAGGGTGACGGTGACGGTGACGGTAGCTTGCAAAGGCAGCAGCTTCCTAGCACCTCTTGCAGCCGCCGCCGCAGGCGTTGGTGCCCACCACCACGTTGCCGCTGCAGGGGGCGCTGCAGACTGTGGTGGACACAGCAGGGGCAGCACCGGAGGCGCAGAGATCTCCACAGACGACGCCACCGCGGGAGCTGCTGACGCCTGTGCGGGGAGAGCAAGTGAAGACGCGCGTCAGGCACAGCCACAGCCACAGCCCAATGCCCCCTCCCCAAAGGGGCTTGGACCACCCCAGCCGGTGAAGGGGGAGGGCTGGGACTACTTACAGACATTCACGGAGCCAAGACCCTCACACAGCCTGTAGGAAGAGGAAAGAGGAGAGGTCAGTGTCGCGGAAAAGGCAGCAGGAGCAAGGTGGAAGGCAAGATCCTTGGCCCTCCTTCTGGGCATTCGCCAAGGGGAAGGTGCAGGACACGGGCTAGTCAGGAGCCAGAGGAGAGGTCAGTGTCGCGGAAAAGGCAGCAGGAGCAAGGTGGAAGGCAAGATCCGTGGCCCTCCTTCTGGGCATTCGCCAAGGGGAAGGTGCAGGACACGGGCTAGTCAGGAGCCAGGGAGCCCCTGATCGCCGTGTGCATTCTGGAGAGAGAAGGCCTGTGCAAGAGCCACACTCCATTGCTGCTTAGCTGTGCAACGATTCAACCTCCCTCAGCCTAGGTCTCCTCATCTGGAAAACCTACTTCCTAGATCTGTTATGAGGATTAAATCAATTAATACACGTGAAATGCTTAGTGCCTGGCACAAAGTGAGCACTTAAGAACTATTAGCAGCATTACTTCTATATTGGTTCTGATTGAACTGTAAATGCAATTAAGGGGAACAGATTTAACTTCCTAAATCCAGTCTGATTGATGTCATAAGAATGCAGGCTTCAGGAGGGTGGAATTTTCTGTCTATTGTTTTTCTCACTGCAGAATCTACACTGCCTTAAAGCAATGCCTGGCTCAATAAATAACTGTTGAATGAATGAATGGGGTTTTAGAACCCATTTAAAACAGGCTCAGAGACTATCTAAAACAATTCTCTCATTTGACAGATGGAGAAACTGAGGCCCAGCGAGAAGAAATGACGACAGAAGCTGGGCTATAACTCAGGCCACCTAACTTCACCCAGCTGGCATTTCCTTCCCACACAACGTTGTCTCCCTAAGGGAATCAGACGGAATTCCCCTGAAGCCACAGTGGCCAATGGTTGGTGGAATCAGCTTCAGACAAGAGGAGGATCCGCAGCCCAATATCAAATCCTCCCACGCCCAGGTTTCCTAGGAACCACACCTAAATCTTCTGAATTCAATCCAAGAGCCTTATGCAGTAAAGAGATGGACCTCTCAGTTTCCAGTGCCATCTCCATGTGTCTCTCCAAATTCTAAATGCAGACTGGAAAAACTCCTCTTCCCAAATTCTTCATTTATGAAACTCCCCAGGCGCAGCCAGACCCAGTGCCTCTGAGCTCTCCAGTGCAAGTACTTGAGTTTGCTGGGAGGCTCCCCATGTGATCACTTTGACTTCCAGGTACCAGACCTGCCTTCTCATCTCCCCAGTACACAGGATGCTGCCTCCGCATCCTCACCCTCCACACTCCTCTCCCCAGAGCCAAGGGCCTGACTGTGCACAAGAAGACAAGATGCTCAGGTGCCTGTGCCTGTCTGTGTGTCTCGGCCCTCACACTGGGATCTCAGGCAGACACAGGTCCTTCCCCTGACCAGTCAAGGGGAAGAAACCAGAGCAAAGAATGGGCTCGCATTCTGGGAATGCTGTCCTTACAGGGGCAGGAGCTGTAGATCTGCCCTCCAGCCCTAGGAAGGCTTCTTGACTAATGGGTCGTCTCCCCTCCCACCTCCGAAGCAAGCAAACAAATGAAAATCCTGAGAGCAAGGCATACCTGCCACAAGGGACAAGTTCCTACTTTCTGTCTAACTCAGTCCCATATGCTGCAACGGAAGACCACTTTGACATACTCGTTGTAATTACAATAGATAAGTGTGAATTAATGGAACCCTCAATCTGAAGCCATCATTATAGGTGACAGGACCAGGGCCAGGGCCAGAGCCAGGCTAGGGAAGAGAGCTGGAATCCTGAGTGGCACATGCAACTAGGGGTGGGAAGGAGGAGGCACTCTCCAGGGAAGATGACCTAAGCCTGAGCTGGGCTTCTTAGGAACAGGGATTACTGCTGCCAGACTCCTGGCTCTAAAGACAGATTTTCAAAAGGCTCCAATCCAGACCAGTGCCTGGTGGGCACGAGAGACTCAGATTGGGCTAGATCATACACAAAGGACTTATGCAAGTTACCTGTCCAGTTGCAGGATGGGGAGGTTTGAAAACAGAAGTGGAGTGGTGCCAAGAGTGTGAGGAGCAGAGTACACTGAAAACCCAGGCAGGGCTCGGAAACTAAAAGGGCTATGGGACCCACCTCTGCTCTTCGCCCTCCAGCAGGCGTCTGTAGGTGGCGATCTCGATGTCCAGGCCCAGCTTGGAGTTCATCACCTCCTGGTACTCCTTGAGCAGGCAGGCCATGTCCTGCTTGGCCTTCTGCAGGGCACCTTCCAGTTCAGCCAGCTTGCAGCGGGCGTCGCTGAGGGCCGACTCACCCTGCTGCTCCGACTCAGTCACAGCAGCCTCCAGCTTGGAGTTCTGGGGACCCAGAAGAGAATAAGGTGGGTTATGGCCACTGGGTCTCTGTACATTACCTGGATGTGTCTGGTCTCACCACCCAGCTGGAAACACCCCAAACACAGAGCCTCTTGCCTTCATCACCTGTGTCTCCCTGAGTGACCATGACTAGGGACCCTACAGGTGCAAATGGGTTAGAGATGAATGGTGAGATCCAGATAGGGCACTCACATGCTATGTGACACTGGATTGGCCTCTCTGGTTTGGGCACACATAATGCATACCTGGCACTTGGCGTTCTCCACCTCAGCCGTCAACCTCTGGATCATGCGGTTCAGCTCATTAATCTCCTCCTTGGTGCGGCGCAGGGTCTCTCCATGCCGGATCACCGTGGCCTTCATCTCCTCGCACTGGGGGGAAGCACAGATGCTCATGAGGCTCAGGGTGGGACCTCACACCCACTCAAAACACCAGGGAGGAGTGTGCAGGTTGTTAGTGCTCAGCCTGTGCTACCACACTTGGCAGTCCTGCCCTGCCACCCCAACCCCAGAGAGGCAGCCCTTCTCTTACCATCCCTAGGGATCAGAATCTCCACACAAAAGAAGCCTTTTCTAATATATACCTTGTACCCCTCCCACCGCCACGTCTAGGAGGCAGGTGTCCTGTGCCACTCACCCTGCTGCGGTACCAGGACTCAGCCTCGGCCCGACTGCGGGTGGCGATGTCATCGTACTGAGCCTTGATCTCGGCGATAACGCAGTCCATGTTCAGGTCCCGGCTGTTGTCCATCTTGACAATGACCGAGGTGTCTGAGATGTGGGCTTGGAGAACACGGATCTCCTGCAGGAGGTGGGGTCAGGGGAGGCAAAAGCTTGTTTAGACTACATCCCACCCACCACAGCCTGTTTCCAATCTTCTCAGACCTTCCCTGGTCCCCAGTCCTGCCTGCTCACCCAGCTGCATGGACTGTATCCCCTTGACAAATCCCAGTCTGACACTCCAACCCCCAGACCAACCACACTCTTCTCTTCTGGCTTCCAGGTTGCTGCCTGGCCCACAGCCCTTTACCTCCTCATATAGACGCCTCAGGAAGTCAATCTCCTCGATCAGAGCCTCCACGTTGGCCTCCTGGTCAGACTTGCGTAGGTAGGCGCAGTCCACCTCCTGGAAAGGTGGGCAGTGTTGAAACTCAGAGGATCCCTGGTGGCTGTGCCCCAGACTCCTCTCTCTTTTCGCCTTTTGTCAAAGTCCTGGATGCACCATTCAATGGTATACCTCTCCAAGAATATTTCTTCCTGATTTGGAAAGGCCATTGCACCCCGCCCTGAGGTTGAGCCCCAGGTCTCCCCAAGAAGAGTCTGTCAATCTGAGATTCCATGGGTCTGTGATTCCCACCCCCGTGTTACTTGCCTTCTTCAGAGCCACAAACTCATTCTCAGCTGTTGCTCTCAGAGAAACTTCCTCCTCGTACCTGAGACAGAAGAGAGAAGAGGGCAGGTCATAGAAGGACGGCATCTGCAGACCCCCCTGCCACTTCATACCACTGATGGGTGAAATATTGGGAACACCCAACCCCACTGGGCCTCTGGCTTCACTGCTAAGTCCTTTCTGGTGGGATTTAGGATGTGTCTGGGATTCTCTCTCCACTTTGAGTTGGGGAAGAGGGCTAATCTTCTTTGACCTCCCAGTCCTATCCCAAGGCTCCTGTGAAGTCAGCTAGAAGACAAATAAGGACTCTGTCCCAACCCCATGCTGGGAGTGAACAGCATGGCCTCTCGGGCTCTGCAGCCCCAGCCTCCTCTCACCTGAGTGTCAATCCCAGCTCAGGTATGGGGCTTCATACAGCAAGGGGCCCTCAGGACTCAGCACCCAAGGTAGTGAAATACCCAGAGCCCTAGGACCTAGAAAACCTGAGCGACCCTGGGGCTGACATCTGATCCAGGTGCTACAGGAGTAGGGACCTGGAAGACTGTGGAAGCTTCCATCCCACAGAGCAGAGGGGAAAGCTGCTGAGTGGTTCAGCTCAGAGAAGGCTGAAGTAGGATAGAAATACGTCATGGGGGAATCACAGCCCTACTCCTAGGCAGGTATCTGGACAAAAATTCCACAAATGAAAAGATCCTGCAACACTCTGTCAGACTGCCTGTGTGGCCACTCAAGCTATTGGAAGTCCTTCTGATCATCTAATTCAATGGTCTTAACCTAAGCTCATTTTCTGTGCCCAAACATCACTCCCAGCCACACTCACTTCTTCTTGTAGCCCTCCAGCACCTCCTGCACGTGGTTGAGCTCCGAGGACAGCCTCCCGCTGTCGGCCTCCACGCACTCGGCCTCCCGCCTCAGCGTCTCGATGTAGCCCTCAAACAGCGGCTCCAGGTTGCTCTCGCAGCACTTGCGGTTCTGGTAGAACTGCAGCTTGGTCTCCAGCAGCTTGTTCTGCTGCTCCAGGAAGCGCACCTGCCATTGGGGTGGAGGAAAGAGACTCAGGGAGGAGTCTTGGGGGAGGTGCCTGGGCCCCCAGAGCTCCCTCTGCCCTTGGGCATGGCCCCCACCCTGCAGCAGCCTGTGACCCTCCTCAGGAACAAAATCATCGGTGAAGTCTGAAAGTACAGGTCACAATCATTCCCCAGGTAACTTCCCTCCACCCCGTCCTCACCTCAGCTGAAGGCGCGACCACCGCAGTATGATCCACAAGTCATGGTGCTTTGGGGGGGGGGACAGGAGACTCTGAGGATGGAGACGTCCAAATGGAGAGTACAGTGGAGGAGGTGTCAGATGTTTACTTCTTGGACTTCTGTAGGCCCTTTATATATGTGAGGACCCTGACTTGTGACCACGTGGGCAAGGGGAATTAGATGCGTTAATGGGCTTGGGTTGTTTAGCTGCTGTAGCTCCTCCCTTAATATGCCTAATTGGTGCCCAGATGCAGCCAGATGTTTATGGTCCTTTGCCCTAAACTGCACAATTTTCTTCTTCAAAGGGCCACCTCACCTCCCACACCCACCTCAACTTCCCAGTGCACAGTTGGCAAAACTGAGAGGTTAGAGGACGGTGTGGGCAGTGACTCAAGTTGGAATGGAGGGAGGGAAGTGGCGGGGCTGTGGTTCCTGTTCCACCCTTTTTGATGAGACCAACACCGCTGTCCGTGGTGCTGATGGGACCAAGCCAGGAACGTTGGAGGAGCATGAGATCAGATGATGCGGGATTTGAGGTGTGCTTGGTGGTTTCCCAGACCCAGATGGCCCCTTTCTGCACCCCAAAAGCCCCACATTTACACAATCTCTAACTTAATCCAGCATGCTCAAACCTGTTCCCATTCCCAAATCCCTTACATATACCTATCAACATGTTCTCTCTCTCTCTCTCTCTCTCTCTCTCTCTCTCTCTCTCTCTCTCACACACACACACACACACACACACAATGCACTCACATGCTGGCCTTCCCACCCATAATTTCACACACACTCTCTCAGGCGCTCACTTGCACATTCACCCGCCCTCACTAGCACACAGACCAATCCTTAGGCCAACTTATTGGACCCTCTTGGCGGGCCTATGCTGAGAGTCTCCTGTGATGCCTCAGGAAGCACACATTGGCCCACTGGCCCCAGGAAAGTGCAGTCATTTCCAAAAAGGCCCATAGCAAGGATTGAGTATCTAGATGTCACCTCAGGTCTCTGTGTTTCCTCCAGGGTCCAGAAGGCTGGGGTGGGCACCATTGTTATGAGTCTGTATAACATCTGGCTCAGAACGTGCAATTTACATAGAGCTGTGGGGAGGAGATCCTCCAGCCCCCTGCCATCACCCCTTGGGTCCCTGCTGCTTTCCATAGTATACCCACACAGCAACCCACTTCCCTGCACAGAAGATTGTCAGTACATTTGAGGTGTCAGAACAGATGCATGTTGGTGTGTGCCATCCATACAGCATGGAGAGTGTGTACCTTGAATTCACAAGGGCTGGGTAGGGACCAAGGCTCTGCCCTGATTAACTCTGTGTGATCTGGGGTCAAGGCATTTCACTATTCTGGGAAATTGCTGGTTAAGGCTTTCCCTCCCACTGCTGCCTTGGAGATTTAAAGAGATATGTACATGCCCAGTAAACCCCAGAGCACAATTCATATGGGCTTTGTTATAATCATTAAGAGGCAACAGGCCCTGGGACAGGGTTTATTCAGAGTTTATATTATGACTTACTAATGGGAGTGACCAGAATTTTATTTCAATGAATTAAATTAGAACAAAATCAAATAGAGTAGAATAGAACAGAAAATATCAGAGTAAAATATATGTAGTAAGAATAATTATTGTTTCATGGCTTTTTTTTTCAATTGAATGTTGTCTAAATGTATGTGCAGACTCAGTCACTGTGCTAAATTATTTTGTAATATGGTTGCAGCTAAAAAGCATCATTTAAGAAAACAGACCCAGACCCCAAACTGCCTACTTTCATATTCCAGCTCTGCCACTCTCTAGTTGTATAACCTCAGGCAATTACTTAACCTCTGTCTGAGGTTATACATGGTATAGTAATAGTACCCACCTCATAAAGCTGTTGTAAGGATCAAAATAATTAATTCATGCAAAGCACTTAGAACTAAACCTGACACACTCTTAAGTGTGTAATCATATTAGTTGTTGTTGCTGCTGCTGTGGTAAATATACTGGCAGGTTTTATGAGGACATAGGGATATGTGTTGTTGCTGATGTTGTGTATATATTGGCAGGTTTGATGGAATAGGCCCACACATTCCTAAACCACCTCTGTTTAATTCCATTAATGGTGCCTAGCTGAAAAGACTATGAGATGAATTAAATAAAATGGACAATTTTACTCAATGGACAATGCTTAACATAACATCTGGCACATAGAAAGAGCTCAGTAAATGTCATCTACTATATTCACCAATGAGAGCCAGTGCAAGGGGCAGAGAGGACCTGAGGCCTTTGGCATGGTTACTCCCTTTATCATGGAAAAGAGCCCCCAAACAAATGCCCACCCTTCGATCCACACTCCAGCCTCACTGCCCCAAGGAAGGCCTAATCAGAATTTCTCCTTTTGGGCAAGGGGAAAATGTCACCTATCCTTGGGCAACCATACTACTGGAGAAGAGAAGCATGGGTAATCTGACAAGTCTGTAATCTGTGAATAATTCATAAATTTGTGTTTATTATTTGGCCCTAACAGACCATCAGAAATCTTTAGTCATAAATCAAACAATGGTATGCTCATTCATATTCATTTTTACCTGACCCTGAAACTTCCCAATTGGTCAATAGCCAGGGGATACCATTGAATTGAGGGTGGGAGTATGCCTTTGATAATCCATTCAAATATAATGGAACTCCAAAGGTGGCAAGAGAAGGCACTACAGCTGGACAAATGGAAGTTGGAGTTGAGGAAGAACTTCCAAGAAGGAGGGTAGGTAGTCATGGTTTCCTAAAGGAGCTTGCATTATCTCCTCCATTTAGGAGAGCTTTATATGAAAGAAAAACACTCCTTATTCTGGAGTGGCCACTGGGTTTGTGGAGACAGAGTGACAGAGTGAACCAAAAGACTTTAAGACTCTGGAGATCAGAGTCCCTTTTAGCCCAAGTGGACCTTGTTTCAAGGGATGCCTGGAACAAATGGGCAAATGGGGTGGTTTTAACATTAGGAAGTTCTTGTCCAAGGCTCCTTTCTGTCCATTCTGTTCCTATGGAGGGTTTTATGAGGCAGATTCCCTAATAGATGACTGCTCAGATGAGAAAATGTTCCATGTGGGGGATTCAGGGATTCTGTGACTGATATGCCCCTGCCATATGTTGAACCCTGTCTTAGTTTTGGAGGGAGGGAGGCACTAAGAGGAGGAAGGAGACATGGGTTCTGGAGCCTCCCATCTGACAGGGAAGACAAACCTATGTTCACAAGAAAGTCCAGAAGTCTGAAGAGAGCTGCTTTTCAGATGTACCATCAGATACTGAGGAATGCAGTGCCTGCTGACAGTGTCCTTTCTGGGGCAATGTGAAATGCAGCTAGTCTGATGAAAAGGCAAGGAAGGCTCCCTGGAAAGGGTGAGGACAGGCTTAAGTAAGGAGGCAGGCAGGACAATGTTGGTGAAAAGGTGTGCATGGAGGTGTTTCAGAGAGTGGGAGAGGGTGAGACAGGGCCAGGCAGTTGAGACCCTCCCGAGGGTCCTTGCAGGAATGGAGGGAGTTGTGAGATGCCGTGACAGTGGAGAGAGAGAGAAAGGAAACCAGTTGAGACCAAGACCTAAGAAGTAGGGCTGTGTCATCCTTGAAACTCTGCTGCATGGCTACGGGCTGGGAGGCAGCCTGCAGGCTCTACATCTGGAGGATACCAAAACATCTACATGCTGGGCTTGTGAGTGTCTAAGGGGCTGTGCCCTTTCTAACCTTGCAGCTCATGTGATCTGTTCACAGAAAGCAAGTGCAGGCCAGGTTCCAGTAAGGGAAGTTGAGGGAGTGAGGGAGTGGCAGTTTAGACAACACTCCAGCTGCTGAGCTGTTGATGAGGGAGTTGACCTAGCCACAGCAGCGGGACACTGGTCAATTATCAGAAAGCAAGTGCAGGCCAGGTTCCAGTAAGGGAAGTTGAGGGAGTGAGGGAGTGGCAGTTTAGACAACACTCAAGCTGCTGAGCTGTTGATGAGGGAGTTGACCTAGCCACAGCAGCGGGACACTGGTCAATTATCCATCAGAACTCACCAGAAGGGAGTCCCATTGGACAAAGGCCCTTGTGGGAAGCCTGGATGGGGCTGGAGCCTGACTCAGGAGCTCTGCCCTGATGAGGTCTGTCCACTAACCAGGCTGAGCCCCTGTGACTCCCCTACCCCACGTCCCTGCCCTGTGAGGGTTCATCACCATAAATCTGGAGCCAACACCTTGGATAATATTTGCATGTATCTTCAGGTAGGTCTACACAGACTTGCCCTCAGTGCTGTGCCCCTTCCACCACCACCCTACTCCTCCTCTGCTCTTCTATCCCTGGCATATCCCACCCCTCCCTCATCCTCCCCTGGGTCTTCTACCATTTTTCCTCCACTATCCTCCACTCCCTCCTCTTTCCCCCACTCTCCCCAAATCACCCCCAGCCAGTCTCCTTCCTTTCTTCCAAGTGGCCCTTGAGAGTAATATTCTACAACCAAGCATCTCCTTCTTCCCCTTTTCACTGGAAATCCCCTCCCATCAACTTCTGTTCTCCAACCCGACCCCTGGTCTCTACTCTGCCCCAATGCCTTCAGAATCCTTGCCTTCATTGGTGGGCTTTCCCTAGCACCCTGTCATAGCTCAGGCCAAGGACTTTGCTTTGGTCAGGGACACATCTCACTCACTTCCTTCCTCCTTTAGGCCTCAGCAAGAAACATTACCCTTCCCCAACCCTACCCCCAGGAATGTCTACCCTCTGGTCTGCTTCATCTGGTCCCCACCCCATCCCACCACAAAGCTTTACACAATTAACCACCAAGCTTTGATTGGCTCCATTACTCAGCACTTAACATTGCAGCTGGTATTCATTTCATTCCTTCAAAAAATATTTATTGAGCAACTTCTATGTGCCAAGCCCTTGGAATATGGTCACAAACAAAACATTTGTAAACATTAGTGTGTTGCAGGGTTTGCATTTTTTTGTTCGTGATTTAGGTACATGTCCAGAGTTTCTCTTAAAACTGACAGCTCACCAAGAACAAGGGTGAGCTCGCCTCCATCCTCTGGCCCTGAACCCTGAAAGCACCATGCAGGGCCTTGAAAAGGCATGGAGGAGAGATGTGTGTGCGCGCATGTGTGTGTGTGTGTGTGTGTGTGTGTGTGTGCGAGCATGTGGGGGGGGGTGTTATATACAAACACCATCTACTGTGTGAGGCCTGCATTGATGGCAGACGGTGTGCAGATGGGAGTGCAATGAGAAACTCATCTCTTCCATTGGGATCAAACACACCAGGTTCTGAGTGCCAGCTCTGCCACTAATCACAACCTGAGCAAGTCTCTTAACTTCCCTCGGCCTCAGTTTCCTCACCTGTACAACTAGAATAACAACACCAAACCCCAGGATAATTGTAAACATTAAATGAGTTAATACATGTTGGGTTCTTAGAATAGCATCTGGTGTGAAGTAAGAGGAACATCAAGAGATTTTTTTTTTTTAGTTTAGAAGAATAAAATAGTTTTCTACACTAAACATATACTACTTGTATAGCTTGAAAGAGTAACCCTATACTCTTGAAAAACTCTTGCACGAATGCACCAGAAGACATGAAAAAGAAGCTCTGTTCATAATACAGAACTCAGGAAACAGACATGAGGGTATCAGAGTAGAAAGGTGAATAATCTATGGGGTACTCATGCAATGAGCACCACCCACTCATGTGAAAATGAATACAATGCAGCTACAGGAAGCAACACGGAACAAAGAAACCAGACACAAAAGAACTCATACATGATTCCATTTGCATGAAGTTCAAACACTGGAAAACTAAATAACATATTGTTGAGGGATGCATACATTGGTTCTAAAACGGCAAAGAAAATCAAGGGAATAAAACACAAAATCCAGGAAAGGGATCACCCTAGGCCAGGAAGGAGGAGGGTACAAACAGAATGAGGTACATGGAAAGCTCCCAAGGTACACGTATGTTCTGTTTCTTCCTATAGGTGGTAGGGACACCGCCTTTACCTTCTTTTATGTGTTGACATATTTCACAATAAAAATAATTTTAACTTCCATAAAATTAAGACGCGTTAGCTTTACATTGCCAAAGCCAGGACCATAGGGTGGTGTCTTGCCCAGCTTCCTCCATCCCTTCCCCCTCTTCCCCACTACCAGCTTTCTTACTGAAAGAAAACAGGCCAAATGTCCTTTTAGGTCTTCAAAAATTGGCAGCAATTAATAATTCCTAAAGTGTCATGAAATGGTGTCACATTTGAATTTATTTCTTGTTTTAAATTGCTTCTGGCATCTTTAAAATTGCTTAGCAAGGGCTAGCCATTGGTAATTAGCTTGTGTTTATGCATGTTATTTTTATAAGGAGTTACACCAGTAGAAAAAGCAGAGTGTGTGTGAGATGCACCTTGACTCATGGCCCTGCTCAGGACACCCAGCCAGCTGGTGTGCTGGGGACACCCCTGCTCAACTGTGGGCAGTGCCTAGAATTGCAGATGAAGGTACAAAGAGTTTTGAAAGTGTTGACCCAGTTGCCCTGAACACATAAAGTGTCAACAGGTGCCACACCCTCCTCTGGGGTGACAGATGGCTGACACAGTCCATGGCCCCCATTGTTGTCCTGTCACAAGGCCCCACTTTGAATGTTTTGCACAGACACACTGACCCCTATCCTGAGCCCTGCTCTCCTCTGTCTGCTTCCTTCCTTCTCTTTTCCTATCAACTCTACCCCCGTTCTCCTTCCCTGAGGCTGCTCTGCCTACGGCACAGCAGCTACAGGGGGCTGCGAGCCATGTCACTCAGCTCTCTTATCTTCTCTTTAGTGTAATGCAAACTTCTGTACTTTGTGAGATGATTTTTCTAGGACCTTCTCTATTGGAGTTGGAGTGGTTCATGGGTTACTAAAACATAGTACAATCTATCAAAGTAGTTACAACATACCAGGAGTATACAAATAACTAAAATCAATGTTTTCCATTTCCTTCCTTAAATTCTTAGCCACAGGGTGCTGCACATCTGATCTTTATTCCTCTCTAGCCCCAAACAGCCTCGCATTGCCCCTGGGTCACATATATCTCATTGGCTCCTCCTGCTTCTGTCATCCCAATCCCCTCTGACTCTGCTTGTCTTCCTCAGACTGACTCCCTCCCTCCCTAAATCCACAGATATCTCCTTCTAAACAACTTTCTCTACCCTCTTAAACTTTTCCAGCCATTAGGAAATCCAGGGGTTGTCATTGCTTGTAGGTGAGAAGACATTGCCCCTCATAGCTTCACCATGTACCAGCTGCAAGACTTTGGGCAAGTTCTTTAATCTCTCTGAGCCTCAGTTTCCTCATCTGTAAAATGGGGATAATGGTACTTACTTCATATGGTTGATGTGACAATTAGAGATCATTTATGGTATATAACGATGATCACATAGTAGGTGACCAACAAAAAGGAAATATCCTCTTATCAAAATAGGACCTATGTTTCCCTACAGAGTTATTTCTAATGGTAAAGGGGGAAATGCACTCAAGTGATCCAATTGAGCATCACCAATCTGACATTTTGTGCTTCCTGAGGTGATACAATAAGAGTTATACAGCAT